TTTCTTTGAAACGCATGCCCACCCTCAAAGGGGTGGTCGTTACATACGACCATCCAGCCTCATGGCCTTAATCATGATGGGTTTTTTCTTTGAAACGCATTCCCACCCTCAAAGGGGTGGTCGTTACATACGACCATCCAGCCTCATGGCCTTAATCATGATGGGTTTTTTCTTTGAAACGCATGCCCACCCTCAAAGGGGTGGTCGTTACATACGACCATCCAGCCTCGTGGCCTTAATCATGATGGATTTTTTCACATACAGCCTGTCATCAAGGTTATCCAGGGATTTCGACTATATAAAATTAATTCGATAAACAATAAATTGTAGAAACTTCAATACGCCATTCCATTCATCGTCGAGCAAAGCAATTCATTACATTGGCGGTAGTAAGTAAGAAAGAAAAAATTTCAAGCATAATACTTCTTTAAATTAGCCACATTCCATGACCTGGCTAGAGATCTTCCTTCAGCATCCTTTAGAGAGTATGCTCCTCCAGCATGGACCTTCTCGACCAGGTATGGTCCTTCCCAGTTTGGCTCTAATTTCCCGACGTGTTTCAGGACATCGACCCTCTTCCACACCAAGTCACCCACTTGGAATCTTCGTGTTTTTACTTTCCTGTCATGCGCCACTCGCATCCTTTGTTTGTACGCCTCGACCCTGATTGTTGCCCTTTCCCGAAGCTCTTCAATTGTGTCGAGCGCTGCCATTATTAGATGTTCATTCTGTTCTCGATCATATGTGCTCGATCTTTGGGACTGGACCTCGACCTCTATCGGCAACAAAGCTTCCATGCCATACACCATGCTAAACGGTGTTTCCCCAGTGGTCGATCGGGGAGTAGTTTTGTATGCCCATAGCACCGAAGTAAGCTCGTCCACCCATGCTCCTGCTGCTTTCTTCAACCTTGTTTTCAGACCATTCAATATGATTCTATTGGTTACTTCGACCTGCCCGTTGGCCTGCGGATGTGCGACTGAAGCGAAATGTTGATCAATTTTCATGTCTTCGCACCATGCCCGAATCCGCTTGCCATTGAATTGTGTCCCATTGTCCGACACCAATACCTTAGGAACTCCGAACCTGCAACATATGTTATCATATAGAAAATGTATCACTTTCTCTTCTGTGATCTTTGCTAGGGGTTCGGCCTCCACCCACTTTGTGAAGTAATCGACCGCCACAATCAAAAACTTTCTCTGTCCGGTTCCTTGGGGCATGGGCCCGACCAGGTCGATTCCCCATTGGGCAAATGGGATGGGAGAACTCATCGCTGTCATAGCTTCAGCCGGCTGGTGAATAAGTGGGCCGTGCTTCTGGCATTGCAAACACTTCCGTACCATCTCCTTGGCATCTGCTCTCATCGTCGGCCAGAAATATCCTGCTCTTAGAGCCTTTGCCACCAAGGAGCCCGCCTTGCTGTGGTCACTGCAGCAGCCCTCATGAATTTCCTTCAACACATATCGCCCTTCTTCTCCGGTTACACATCGCAAGTGGGGGCCCGCGTGCGATCTCTTGTAGAGAATCCCTCCATGTTCGAAGAATCTTCTTATTACTTTAACAGCTCCTCCCTTCAATTCTTTTATTATCGGCGCCCTCCAGTCCTCGACTTCTTCTATCTCGACCACATCCTTCTCGACCGCACTCTTCTCCATGTGCAGCAAGGTCACACTTCTGCTCTTACAGTCCACCAGACTTTGTGCCATTTTAGCCAACAGATCTGCTCGACCATTTTCTCCTCGAGGTATTTGAATTAACTCGAAGGAATCAAACTCTCCTTGCAGCTTCTTTATCTCCTCTACATACTTCATCATCCTCTCCTCCCGTACCTCGAAACCCTCTTGGAATTGGCCCACTACCAATTGTGAGTCTGAATGCACCTGCACTGCTCGAGCTCCGCCACTTAAGGCCAGCTTGAGCCCCTTAATGACCGCTTCGTATTCCGCTTCATTGTTTGATATTTGGTAAGCCACCTTAATTGCGAACTCCAAGCTGTCACCTTTCGGCGACATAAGTACGATGCCTAGGCCACCTCCCGCCCTCGACACCGACCCATCTGCAAACACTTGCCATACCCCTTCGAACTCCTCGCCTTCCTTCGTCCCTTCCCGAATAAAGTCAGCC